GGGAAAAGAGCACAGGCATAGTGACACAGTACTCTGTGTATGTATGTTCTTGGTTGATTTACTTAACAATGCTGAGCCCCAAATTCCTAACTATCCTATATAATAAAAGCCTAATATGCTAAGTGTCCAGTTGACCGGTTGGCTGTTCAACCAATCAAAGCATAATATGCTAATGATATGCTAAGGCTGCTCAACCGCTCTCTATGATGTTCACTGACCACCAAAGGGCAGATAGTCAACGGGTCGACCAGTCGCTATGGTGTGCACTGACCACCGGGGGGGCAGATGCTCCAACTGGTAGGTTAGCTTGCTTCTGGGGTCCGGCTGATGGGGACTGAGCAAGATGGGCCGGACATGCCCTAGAGCCCTCCTGCAGTCCCTCCCTAGCTGGCCAACCTCCCATGTCTCTCTCCAGCCCATTTTGTGCACCATTGGGGTCCCTTGGCCTGGCCTGCACCCTCTCACAATCCGGGACCCCTTGAGGGATGTTGGAGAGCCAGTTTCAGCCCGATCCCGCAGGCCAGGTTGAGGGACCCCACTGGTGCACGCATTTGTGTACCGGGCCTCTAGTAATACATATATAGTAGTAATACATTCCTCACAGGCTTCTTCATATAATTTCATGAAATAATGTGTGTGAAGTGCTTAACACAGGACTCAGAATATAGGAGGTGCTCTATAAATGCTAGGTCCCTTTCTAACTTCTACTTTAAGGGATTCTTTATTTAACAGTGATTGATACCTAGTGTGTATGAAGCTCCATACTTTGAATAAAAATGTGAAATAGTTGATGCCCTCAAGGAGCATGGAGAGTTAGCTGGAGACACAGATAAGTAAATGAAAGAAAACAATATTCTGGAAGCTACTGGTGGTTGAGGTGATAAACATGTAAATGAGAGAAGTTCTAGTTTTCTAGGTTTGGATGGTGATATTCACCAGATAGAAAAAGTTGGAAGAGGAACAGGTGTGTGTGTGTGTGTGTGTGTGTGTGTGTGTGTGTGTGTGTGTGTGTGTTTCAGGGAGGGGAGAATAACAAGCTCACTTATGGATATGTTGAATTGAGCAGTGAAACTATCAAAAACAATACTCCTGCCTTGAGTGGAAGTTGGAATCTATCATCTCCAAAGTATCTTCCAATTCTAAGATTCTATGATATATGTACATTTTAATTGTTTTACTTTATCTCTATATGTGGATGCTGATAGATGTTATGTTACAGAATACTAGCCAACAATTTTCAAGCACTTGTAAATTGTAAAATAAGAATACCACAAGTCTCATTTTCTCAAAAGTGGTTATACAAACTTACCAAACCAACTGAGAGTGACCATTTTACAAAAAGATTCTTCACTTTTACACCAATGGCCTATATATTTCTGCAAAATAGTTATTTCGGTGTACTTAAAAGGTTTGATTTAGAAACAGCTTTTAGGGATACATCTATTGTACTTTTGCAGAAGGTATAATTGTACTCAGAGTTTAAGTATCCTGTGAGAAGGTTATGTGGGTATCTCTGATAGATGACCAAATCTGAACAAATGTAAATGGCAGAATCAAATTCTCATGCCCTGATAAGTGTCTCCAATAGTAGTGAGATGATGAACAAAAAGTTTTTCAAAAGCAAAAGGATAAATAGGATTAACACTTTTAGTCAATAAGATATTTTACATTGTTCCTTAGTTAAGGCTAGCTTAGAATATTTTTGTGTGTTGATTTTAATTAATGGGAAAACTATGGCAACAAGTATCTATATGTTCAGCTCAGAAGTGCCCATGAAAGAAGAGATAGATTGACCAAGAGCTTAGTTTCTTCTTAGTTGGGTGACTTCTTTTATCTGATGCACACTAAAATGAAGATTACCAGATCTGAAAATTTCTCGCTCCACACTTTGCTAATTTATATCTAGATCTTGATTTGCATCTTGTTATATTTTAGGAAGTATAAAAAGACACATGGGGAGGTGATTTAAAAACCAACTGAAGCCACAAGGTAATATGTCTTCATTATTGATCTGCAACTATTGCTGAGTAAGTTGAAATCATTGATCATTTAGTTTGATGAAATGAAGACTTTTCTGAAGGTGAAGGAAGAAAGTGAAAATGAAAACTATCATATTTTGGCTCTAGTACCTCAGTATACTAGAAATGGGACAAAACAGAAATTTCCATATGTGTTTGTAGGAAGTACTTCAGATCCACACTCTTAAAAACTTATTATCCTGCAATCAAGAACTACATTTTTCTAAAGCTCTCTCTTCTTTTTATTCAGGCTCTTAGAATGGAATCATTTCAAGAACTAGTGAATTAGTTTGAAATATAGCCTTGTTCTCCTTCCACTAGATGTGAAATAAGAGCAGCCTCTATATTTTACCTTGAAGTAGAATGGAGAACAATATTGGAAAATGGAGATTGAGAATTTTTCAGGGCCTCAGGTTCGTCATAATCATGGAGGACAAGTAATGTCAGTGGAGAATATGTGAGAGAATGATATATGCCAGTGTTGTGAGCCTGAATACTAATGTTAATCAGTAAACCAGGATTCAGAGGTAGCCACTAGTTCTATTTATTAGTGCAGGAAAATAAACTGAAGCATTTGTCAGAAACAAGGTTTGAAGGGGAAGAAAAGCTTTCTGATTAATTCCTGAATCATTTTCCTATTACTCCAGCATCCCTGGGGAATCCAGTATGTAAAGTCTCCATTGGTTAGTGAAGAATTATACTACATTCACTTTTCCCTTGGAAATGCTTAATGACTCTTGCTTTGTATTCCTTGCAGGTGAAAGCCCAGCCTCTGTGGTTCTTAATGCCTCAGCAGGATTATTTTCAATAAAGATGGAAACCCTGGAGTCTGAATTGACCTGCCCAATCTGCCTAGAGTTATTTGAAGATCCCCTTTTGCTCCCTTGTGCTCATAGTCTCTGCTTCAGCTGTGCCCACCGCATCTTGGTCTCCAGCTGCAGCTCTGGTGAATCCATTGAACCTATTACTGCTTTCCAGTGTCCTACATGCAGATATGTTATCTCACTCAACCACCGGGGCCTGGATGGCCTCAAGAGGAATGTGACTCTGCAGAACATTATTGACCGCTTTCAGAAGGCTTCAGTCAGTGGGCCCAATTCCCCAAGTGAGAGCCGCCGGGAGAGGACTTATAGGCCCAGTACCACCATGTCTACTGAGAGAATTGCATGCCAATTCTGTGAACAGGACCCACCAAGAGATGCAGTGAAAACATGCATCACCTGTGAGGTCTCCTACTGTGATCGTTGCCTGAGGGCCACACACCCCAACAAGAAGCCTTTCACCAGCCACCGCCTGGTGGAACCAGTGCCAGACACACATCTTCGAGGGATCACCTGCCTGGACCATGAGAATGAGAAAGTGAACATGTATTGTGTATCTGATGACCAATTGATCTGTGCCTTATGCAAACTAGTGGGGCGTCACCGAGACCATCAGGTTGCGTCCCTGAATGATCGATTTGAGAAACTCAAGGTAAGGGATCTGGGAAATATCCCTAACACAACTTTGTGTCTTTGTACACTGTTATGTGGGAGGCAAGTTCACTAGTAAAATGGGTGACTTTTCTTATATGAAAAGTGAGTTAACTTCAAGTTGTCATGAAGAATAACCTACTCACCTGCTAGCTCTCACTGGAACCTATTTCATCTGTTGTATAAATCTGCTTGTGTCTGACCAGTTCTGGGGGAATTGGCCTGTTGCCCACTACACCAATAGTACATCCAGAGCAACAGCACTCTATTTACTCTTTCAGTGACACTTTACACACTACATATCTTTGCTATGATTTTTTCCACCTCTTCTTTTAAGTATGTGAGTACCTGTGTAGGTGTGCTATAATTAGCATTTGTGCTTATTTGCCTGTTTATGTGTATAGCAATGGGAAGGTTTGGTGTGTTTCAGTGTAGGTATGGGTGGATGTGTCTGAGTAGATCTCTGTGGGTGGGAGATCTTTGTGGAGAACAGTAGTATATTTTTGCACGCTCAGTATTCTAAAGAAAAAAAGTTTGGCACTGGCCACTACAAATTGCCATCAAGCCCTTAACACAGGGCTAATTCTAAGCCTGGTTTAAAAAAAACCCCAAAACACAACAACAACACCAAAATTAAAATAAACAACAACAAAAAAACAGACTAACAGTTCCTAAAAAAGGAACTTCAGTGTACCATGAAGTCAGAAGGAATGATCAAATACCTGAACTAAACATTTAGACTGAAGGCCATAAATATTTAATCCAGTATCAGATTTTGTGCCAGCCTTCGTTTTTGTGGTTAATGGACTGAAGCACTTGTTTGCAGTCCTGCCTTGGAAATTCTTACTCTTTCATTTGTGTTCAGTGGAAAGAGTTCCAAAGTTATTGGGCCATATAATATTTATGTGCAACTCTAAATGCCTGTTTTTTAAAGCCCTACTACCTCATGTGGATAGTAAAATGTCAGATCCAGCAAATTGTTTTATTCCCATTGCCTGTCTGTCATGTGATTGAACTTCTCTTAGAATTTTCAGACAAATAAAATGTGTAAATGAGTCAGATTACCACTGCTAAATAGGGCCTGAATATATAAGCCAAGCTCTAAGGAAGATCTAGATAGGATGAAAGGAAGGCAAGAAGTGGGTGGAGAGTTTCCTCTAGCCATGCTTTGGAAAAGTCGATGTAACTTAGGTAAAATTTGTGATGTTGGATAGGATAGCAATACTCAGAATAGTATACGTATTCTCTTCTGTCATTTGTGGCAAGTAATATTGAGAGTAGTCACATTGACAATGCTTTGTGCCTTTTTAAAAAATGTTTTTTATTTATTTTAGAGCCAGAGGAAGGGAGAAGGATAGAGAGATAAAAACACTGATGAGAGAGAAACATTGATCAGCAGCCTCCTGCACTGGGGATTGAGCCAGCAACCCAGGCATGCACCCTGACCGAGAATTGAACCCTAACCTCCTGGTTCATGGGTTGATGCTCAACCACTGAGCCACACTATCCAGACGGTTTATGCCTTTTTTGATCATTATTTATATCTAATATTTATAAATTTGTACATAGTTCAGTGTTTATGTTTATTTCATTCAAGGTGCTATTCTATTGAGTGAAATAAGCCAGTCAGAGAAAGACAAATATCACAGGATTTCACTTATAAGTGGAAACTAATGAACGTAATAAACAGATGAACAAAATAGGTCCAAAGTTATGGATACATTAAAAAGAATGACAGATCTCAGAGGAGGGGAGGAGATGGGAAGAGATTAACCAAAGAACTTATCCTATATAACAAAGAGGTAATATGCAGATTGACCATCACACCCTCGCACAAGATGGCCGCCCTCATATGGTCAAAGATGACTGCCCCATGTGGTCACAAGATGGCCGGCAGTGGAGGGCAGTTAAGGGTGACCAGGCCAGCAGGGGAGGACAGTTGGGGGCAATTGGGCTGGCAGGGGAGCAGTTAGGCATTGATCAGACTGGTT